GCTAGAGTTGGTTGTGGCGGCAAGGCGGTTAAAGAAACCTTACAAGATTTGCAGATGTTCATGCTTAGATACACGAATTGACAATTGTCTTCTTTTTTTTTTTTCTTTTTGGTTTGTTTGTTTAAAATTCACAAGAAGCAAAGCAAAGGTTAACACTTAATTATTTTGAGAGCAAGAAGTGACGGAACGGGATGGATATAAATGGAACAAAGGAGAGGGACAAGATGAGAGGTAGCATGGTATAGTTTTTCCTTCAACTGACACCTCATTAGGTACATATTATGTGGTAGTGGAGAAGAAAACAAAAAAAAAAAAAATGCCCCTTACAGCAGGGCTAACATTTGGGACAGGGACACTATTTCACCAGCAGGGTGGATGGTGGCAAGCCAGAAAAAAGAACTAAAGATGACTAGAGAAGATACAAAAATTATATATATTTAGGAATGGATTTTTCATTTATTAATCTGACATATTTTTATTAATTAAAGGTTATTTTTTAATGAATACCTATATTTGAATATATGCGCTGTTTATTTATTAAACAGTATATTTATTTATTTTTGTCTACCGGTCTTAATATTCCAGAAATCTTATTAGAAAAATATACATTCCCTGAAGGATTAGAACCTGCATTCCCCAAGGGGAAACCGTCATTAGATCTGATGTGCTTTGACCTCTCAGCTACAGAGTGCATCAATGAGCAAGTGAAGTTGAGTAATGCCTTTAAACACAGGTTTTTCTCTAACTCTTGAAATAGACATATCTGCTGTTTCTTATCCTAATGTAAACAAAGCAATTTGTAAAGAAAGGGGATGGTCTGTCAGATTAATAAATAAAAAAAAAAATCCGCCCCTTTCTATATATATATATATATATATATATATATATATATATATATATATATATGTGTGTGTGTGTGTATGTATGTATGTATGATAATTATATATATATATATATATATATATATATATATATATAAAGTTATAAAGATTTAAGAAACAGCAGATATTTTTATTTATATATATATATATATATATATATATATAGTGCACAATATTAAAATAATATTAAAAATACAGCATTAATAATATTATATGAAAAGATTGCTTAACTTAAATATCAATTTTTTTTTTTTTGCTGTTTTCTTCAACTTTGAAGTTTCTTTGTAAATGTCGTTTCTTCAGGGGTTTCTGGTTCTAAATGATATTACCAATTTTTTCAATTTGTCCCACACACACACATATATATATATATATATATATATATATATATATCTTTTTATTCATTTCACCCCAAACAAGGCAGTAAAGTCACTAGGACACAAGGAGTTATTGAGCGTTAGAGAATATAAGAAAAAAAAAAAATACATATAAGTGAACCTTGTAGTCAACACCCAGCAGTGACAGTCTATTTCATGCTTAAATGCAATCATGACAACTGCGTTTAAGCATGAAACAGACTGTCACTCCTGGGTGTTGACTTCATGGTTCACTTTTATATACATATACTGTATCCATGATATTGAGCATTTTAACCCATAAATACATATAACAAACTGAAAAGGTTGAGAACAACAAATATTAATTTTTTTAACAGCTTAAATGTCAAAATGTTTTTTTTTTGCTTTGTTTATAAAAAGGCTTTTCCACAATATGGTAACATCTGCAAACTAAAATTTTTGCCTTATGATTATCTTTCCAAAAGGACATGCAAAAAAAAAACCCCAAGAAGCTTTTATTAGCATTTCTCCAAATAACATCTTTGTTGTTATCACAACATTTCAGCAGTTTTGCTCTCTAGCTTTCTTCAGAGCGTCTGTTTGTCTGGGTAATAATCAGGGAATTTTGGACTGAACCCTTTATTTAATCTATGAGAGTAGATCATTCTTGTTCTGTCTAGGAATAGCTTGTCTTTGTTTCTATCAAGTCAAAGCCTGTGCTACCAAACTCGGAGATTGAACCCAATTATTATACAACCAAATTCACAAACTAATGCTTTGATCAACAAAGCTGTTGTGCCGCAGATAATAGTCTAATGGATTAAAGAACAAAACAAGAAAAAAAATGAAACAAGACAAAAAGAACAAGATGAGATATCCCTAGACACAGACAGCAGAATGGAATCAATCTGAACAACCTGTCTCATAAATTGAATAAGGCTTTTGTTCAAAACTTCCTAAAGGTTATCTGAACCAACAGATACCAAAAGGACAGATAGCCTAAAAGCCAAAATATTAGGATAAGAACATCAAAAATGATGAGGACATTAGTCTGAGTGCAAATAATGGTAACTCCTGATCTCAGAAACTCAGAGAAATTATCAAAGAAATTGTTATTTGGGTACTTCACCATGGAACAATGGTTAGCAAGCAAATTATACAGGCTATTACTATTATAGTGAAATTCTACCTCATAATTGTTTAGTGATAAGATAAATTTAGCAGCTACTGTGGTGAGTATTAATAATCTCATTTCAAAAACCAATTTGGCAAGCAAAATGAGTGCTCTACTGCAATGACCTTGTGCCAGACTTAACTAGGCTTAAGGAATAACAGTATAAGAAATTATTATGGAATAAGCAAAATGAATTGGAATTTGAAATGAATGAATCATGAAAGTCTAAATAACATTGGCTTTTATTATCACAATGGGCAGTTAAAAAAAAAAAAAAAAAAAAAAAAAAAAAAATGTATCAGAAAATTCCAAAATGTTCAGCCCAAATAAATAGGAAAGATCCAGTAAAGTCCAATGGAGACAATTACAAACTAAACTTGATCTGGACAAAATATAAATAAAAAGTCGTTAGGCAGTCAAGCAGATATAGACTTTTCTTTTTCCTTTTTTTTAAACCAAAACAATTAATTTTGAAATGGTGTGGTTGAAATAAATGGCAATCAAGAAAAGTTATTTTCTGTAGTGTGATATGGAGGAAGGCAAGGGGGAGGGGGATTTGAAATAGGGGAGTTGAAAAACAGAGACGGAAAATGAATTCAAAATTAGAAATTAGATAAAAAAAAAAATAGATTAATAAATTGAGATTGGAAAACAGAAAAAAAAGATCTTGAAATGAATTGGCCAGAAAAGAAAAAATCATTTTTAAATGAAGTTAAAGCAGAATAGTTTTCAGCTGAATAGATTTACTTTTTCTGTAAAAGCGCAAAGAAAATAGGGATTGTTTGTAGTGTAGAAATAAACTTAATTTTAAAAACTGAAAAATTACTTATCAGATGGATTGAATTTGATTTATATTTAGTAAGCAAATAAAAACAAATCTGTACATCTCATTTGACAGACTTAAAAACAAGTTTTTTTTATTTCCATAGTTTTATCAGAAATTACTTACAAGACACTAGAGACTAACATCAGGGATATTTTCTATTCATTTTTATTAAGATTTTTATTTTTACAGTTAATAATAAAAAATACCTGAAGTTTATCCCCAGTTTTATTTAATTATGAAAGATTTACAAGACACCAATGTATATCTAGATACTTTAACATCTGATAAATTTATTATTTTTATTATAGTTTTTATTTATTTATTCTTATTTATTTTTATATTTTTATTTGATTTTTACTTATTTATTTTTATTATAGTTTTTATTTATTCTTATTTATTTTTATTATATTTTTATTTAATTTTACTTATTTATTTTTATTATATTTTTATTTAATTTTACTTATTTATTTTTATATTTTTTATCTAATTTTATTTATTTATTTTTTATATTTTTATCTAATTTTACTTATTTTCATTATTATTTTAACTTTTATTATCTTTATTATTATTTATTTATTCTTGTTATTTATTTTCATTGTTTTTATTACTTATTTATTTTCATTATTATTTTTATCAATAAAAAAAATATATTTATGTTTATTTCCAAAGTTTACAAAACACTTAAAAACTATGAGTCATGTCTGAAGACGTTGAATTTTTTCTAGTTATTTATATCAATCTTTTTATTATTATTCTCAATAATAATAATAATAAGGAAGAAAAAATGAAATGATGGAAAAAAGGATCCAGAGTTACCAACAGCAATATTAAAAGATTGAAGGAAATTGTAAGACAAAAAAGAAACCAAAGAAAATTTATTTGCAATTCTTTGGCAAAGCAGCAACAGGATGGACTTAATAGGTTTAAAAAACACTATATGAGAATCAGTATCAGCTTATCTTACACGTTAAAAAAAAATCAAGCTAGAAATCAAGCTAGTTCCAATTTATGGTTAATGACACAAATTGGGGGGGGGGGTCTGATATCAATTTCCTTTAAAGTACAAAGAAACTGAACACACATCATTTTCTCGGCAATTACCAAAAATGAAAATTTAAAGTTCTCAATAAAAAAAAAAAAGCAACATGCAACAATTTTCATTTTCAAAACTGAAACACTAAAAAAAAAAAAAAAAAAACACTTTCCCTTGACACCAAAATTTTGTCCAAATTTCTCTTAGCTTTATTATTCTTTTCAAAAACTCAATTAGTTTCCATTACCAACTTTTTCTCATTTTCTATCTTCCCAGTTATCTCATTCAAAATAATGGTTATAGTATCCTGGTATCTGACTAACTGCAATAAAATTAATCACATCAGTAATGATAACTTTTTAAAGAGTTGTCTTTCAAAATTGATCAAAGATCAGGTTTCTGAATTTGAATTACAAACAAGCATCACTTGTTTACACAAAGTAGCAGCAGTCAATAAAATAAGAAAACAAAAGGAAAAATACAAAGGGGAAAAAACACATTAATTTTTTTTTATAATCTGTAAATATATGAGCAGAGGAACACAAAAGGAGATTGAGCAGAAAAATAGTCTATAACAAATGCAAAGAGATACATACAAATATATTGCCTTGACACATGTACACACACATTCACAGCTGACAAGAACTGCCTGCCTAGTTGTGTGTTAATATTTGACATGTAATGGCAAGTAATGTATCTATGCAAGCAAAAGTTGATGGGAGAGGGGCGCTTAGTGGCTGATATTCACAAGTTTGTTGTGGATGCTGTGAATCTGGTGTGGTTGGACATTGACAGGGATGACTTCACTCTTACAACCAGGGGTTGGGATCATGATCTGGCCCAACAACAAGCAATCCAGGCTTTTTTCTTTCAATACCTGAAAAGAATAGAAAAATGGATAAGCAATATGAAGCAAGGGAAAAAGAAAAACAATTTGCATTAATTTTAATCATATCATTATTGTAAAAACATTTGAAAGTTTATAAAAATAGAAAATGATTTATAAGATCCTGATATCAGTTTAAAACTGATAGTTTCTTTCCCCATATATTGTTTTGTTTAAAGTTTGTTTTTATTTTATTTTAGATTAAAATTTGGCAATTCAACACATTTCAGTGAAGTTTTCCCTTTCAAAAATTAGTTTAGATATATGAAAAAATAAATGTCAGTTTGAGCCAATGTCAGAAACGCACGCATTAAACTGACACCTGTTTTTCCATAAATTGTGATCATTTTGCTTGAAGTTCGCATTTTCTTGATTTTAGATGAAAACTCTGAAATTTTCCAACATATTTTAGTGAAATTTTTACCTTTCAGGTTTATAGTTCATAATTATATTTTTTTTAGACATATAGAAAAAAAAGTGTCAGTTAAATTCAAGTCTTAAGGTTCCAGTTTCAACCAACACTATCTTCTTTCCATATATTGTGACCATTTTTCTATTTCTTTTTTTGACTTTAGATGAAAACTCAAAAATTTTCCAACATATTTCAGTGAAAGTTTCATTTTCCAAAATTAAAGTTTATAATTTTAATTTAGATATATGGAAAAATGAAGGCAGAAATGGTTTAATATTGCATTGGAGGGAAATTAAATTTTAGTAAAATTATATACAATATCTTTATAATAATGTACCTGTTCAATAGAAAAAATAAACAAGAAATATGAAGTCAAAATTTCTATCAATTACATTTATTTAACAGGGTAATAACAGTGTTGCCTTGAACAGCTATTGGGACTTATACTCACCCCAGACCTCAAGCGGAACTCATGTATATAATCGATCGCTAAAGATTATAGAAAAATGGTCAGTTCCCTGTACTGCTCCAGGGTCTTGTATAGGTTGGACATTAGTAATATATATGCAGGGTGTGATGGGTAAATTGTTACCATTTATATTTTTAATTTTGTGCATGCGTGTTTGTTTTTGTCGACTGCACAGTATAATAAAGTCAGTTGGGCACCGTTTGTGAGAAAAAGAGCACCATAATGCAATTCACTGCACCAAATCTCCAATACTAACATTTCAGACTGTTTAGATGTCAATCTGAGGACAGTGCAGAGTATTCAGAAAGAGTTGAATGAGTCTAATGGTGATTACGAAGGTATGGCAGCTTAGAAAACTCATGCCGATCATTCTAAGAACTCAGGAATTTTTTGGTGAGGGTCTCAGACTTAACATGATGGCCTACATCAAGTGTTTTAAGGAGATTATATATAAAGAACATATATATCTATATCTGAGGACAGTGCAGAGGATTCGGAAAGTGTTGGAAAAGTCTAATGGTGAATACAAAGGGGCTTGGAGTGATCCCTAGTGATGGCAATGTTATGAATCCATTCCTCATCCCACAGGGCTTCAGAGACAACATGGAGGCCTATATTATGTACCTTGAGGAAGTGGTGCTGCCCTGGGTCAAGAGGGTGGCTGATGGAAGACCCTACGTGTGGCAACAGGAGTCTGCACCATGCCACACATGTGAAGAACCCAGTCATGGCTGTCAGAGACAATTTCTGTGGCCACATCAACCCTTACATCCGGTCCCCTAACTCCTCAGACTGCAACCCCCTTGATTATTATGTGTTGGGTGCCAGAGACCAACAACACTCCTTGTAACAAAAGGACTGAAGGCAAGGATCACCTTCACCAATTTAAACAAGGAGACCGTCCAGAAGAGTTGCAGGAGATTCCAAAGTCATCTAGAGGCCATGGTTAAAGCCAATGTTGATTTTATTGAATAAATTTATTCTTTAGTATTTCAAGATATTTTTGTGTCATTTTGGTAAATATATCTGCTAAAATGTGATGTCAGTGTTATTTGCATTTTTGTGTAATTTAGATGACAATTTATACATCACACTCTGTATATATAAATAAAAGATAAATACAAAAGCTTATATTTGCCAATGTGTTTTTGGCCTCTGACGGACTTTATTAAGGCAGATGTAAGGATTTTATTTTACAACAAATATTTATAAACAGAAATAAAAATGTTAGCTTTTCAAAATTTTTTATATTTAAAAATGCCCATAAATATACTTCAGGCTTACTAAAAAGTCAGGATAAAGTGTTAAAATATAATTATATATATATATATATATATATATATATATATATATATATATATATATATATATTAAATGCCATTTGTAGGAGAGACTTTGTAAATCACAGATACAATAATAGTAATGCCTTGAACAATACTGGTCAGATGCTGCTAATTCCCATATATATATATATATATATATATATATATATATATATATATAGGTACCTCCACTTGGTCATGTAAAAAAAACAGCATAGCATGATAAAAAAAAGCCCCAAACTCAATAAAAGCAAAGTTTTGGCATCAAAATGTTTATATTATTATTAAGAGTATTTTTTTTTTATTATTTTTTTGAAATTTTTACACCTTTATAGCATGTTGTAAATTTTGGTTAAAAATCTTTTTTTTTTTTTATGTCAGCGGCATACCAAAGATAAAGTTTAGTTTTTTTTTTCGGCATTTTTTCCAGTGAAAAACACATCGACTTGGAAATTCTTGCAAAATTCAAATAATTGTCAGATTTTAATAAAACTTTCAGGACATATTCAGAAATGAAATGATTTTTGAAATTTTTATTTTTACATATGTTACCCACCCACTTAATTAATTTCATGAAATTTTAAGAAATTAAATTTGTGGGGTGAGGTTATTAGTTAAAAACAGGACTTTTTTTGTAAAACAGTTACCCATTTCATTGAAAATCTGCTCTGAATTGTAAAACAAAAAATGTAATAAAACTATGACATTATTTAATTAGAAAAGCTTTTAATTGCTTTTGTAAATAAGTTATGTTAAGGACACTATTGTCTGAAGAAATAAAAATTTTTTCCATGAATAATGAATTTTTACAACAATTTTTTCATTTTTTAAAAATTTTAATTATAATAATATAATAGTTCAAATATCATTTAAAATTGTTCATTGCTTTCAAGAATGCAATTTGGGGATATCATTAAGTGAGAAGTAAATTTACGAATCAAAATTTGAAAAGATCATAACAGTCACTTGAACTGGAATATTTTTAAAATAATTTTTAGTGAAAAAAAAAAAAAAAAAAAAATTTCCTAATGTCTACCTATGGGAATCTATACATGACATAATCCTTAAAAAGGTCATGTGATTTAAGTGTCGTCTGACACACTGCACTTATTTCGCTTTTAATTCAGTTGTTTCATCATTAATGTCTTCACAAATCATCCCTTGAAAATATCAAAAAAAGTTTTACTTTATTTAATTGTTATTTCAGTAAATATTTTTATTTTATGCATTTATTTTAGTTTGAGTCATACTTCAATTAATTAATTTTTTTGTTTAAGGTAGTAAACTTAAGAACCTAGATCTGAAATGTAAATTTCATAAAGCTTCTTGAAACCTAAATAAAAAAGTCAATGAAATATTAAATAATTGCTGAAAATGTTAATTTGTAAAAATTACTAGATAGTTAAAAACTAAAAAAAAAAAAAAAATGTGTTCACATAAATTTTGTAAATTTATGTCATTTTTGGTCATCCATAAAAGCTGTCATCACCTTGAGAGCTTCTTGATAAGTCAATAAAGATCAAAGAAAGAGGTGACCCATCATTAAGAAATGCTTGTATATTGTTTTTTTATGCTATAAGTAATATTTATTTCAAATCAGATTAATTTAACTTTTCTAATTTTACTCAAATAACATGTCACAAATCTATAATTTAACTTTGAAAGATTTTTAAAACCAATAAATTTGTTTGTTTACAAATTCCTTAAATTTAAGAAAATGGCTGCTTTAAAAAAAAAATAAAATAAAATAAAGCAATTATTTGACATTCCAATCGATATAATTATTATGTGAAATACACCAGAATATTTTACTTACTGAAAATAATAAATTTAATCATTTAGCTTTCAATTAAAGCTAAACTGAAATCAAAGAACGCTTTTACATTTTTAAAATTTCATTTTAAACCTTAGGTTATCGAAAATTCAGTGGAGGTGCCTATTTATATATATATATATATATATATATATATATATATATATATATATATATATATAGTGTGTGTGAATAAAAAAGACAAGGGAAAAACTATTCTTAGATGATGCATTTTGTCCTCTGAGAGATTTTATCAAGGCAAAAGTACCTGAGAGGGTTTAATGCATTGTCTAAGAATAGTTTCTTCTTGTCTTTATATTCATTTTGTTCCTTTACAGATACATTATCTGAGAATAATATATATATATATATATATATATATATATATATATATATATATATATATACACGGCTGCAAAAGTAGGTATACAGTAAATATTATACCAGTATTATAATAGTTGTTCTAAGATTCATTTAATACTAGAATTTATTAAAATCATTTTCAAAATTTTTATTACAATACCTTTATTATAATTTTACATTTATTATAAAGTGTGTGTGTGTGTGTGGATAGATAGATAGATAGATAGATAGATAGATAGATAGATAGATAGATAGATAGATAGATAGATAGAATTTTATGGATATTTTATTGCTGTAGAACTTGCCAAGAGCTTACTCAATCATTAACTTAAAAATTAAGATTCATCAGAATATTCAATTGGAAAACCGTGACACTTTCACAGCTTAAGACTAGTCAACAATAAAAGGATTAAATACAGAAAAAATGCTGTGAAGAATAAAGCAGCTTACTTACCCGAGCATATTCTGGAGTTGGAAATGCTGAAAAGTCAGTTCGGACTTGACCTCCTGTTCGATTGGCAGCCAAGAAATTAGTCACCTGTACTTGAAGCTAAAAAGGAAAAAAATAAATTAAAATAAATAAAATAAAATAAATTGTAATAGAAGTGCCTTGACTAAGGATTGAATTAATAAAATATTTTAAATAATTAGTAAGGATTATTATTTAACAGTTATTTTTTCAAAGATTCTGCTTTATAGACATTTAAGAAAAAATACTTCAGGATTCTAATATTAAACAATTCTGTCACATGATTAAATCAACAGAAAGTAACCAAAGCTATTAGCATCCACAGAAATATCCATGGCTAGAAAACTGTAAGAATGTTAAAAGTTTATATAGAATCATGAAATCATAGATAGTAGTGAAGGGTCATTCTTAGAAGATAAAATCTTTGTAAACTTATTATACACATCCCACCCCAACCTATTTTTTTTACAAATCTTTTTACCCCAAGCAAGGCTATAAAGTCACTAAGATGCAAGAGGTTACTGAGAGTGAAATAAACTGGAAAAACCTTACTGAGGAGAAAGGACAATAAAAGAACAAAATTCAAAAATGAAGAATATGGCAATTAATATTGCATTTAAATTTTTGAAGATCGTAGTAAAGCAAGAAGCTGAAGGAGAGTTATACAAACTAGATGTATGAGAGTAGAAACTATTAGAATAGAACTTATGGTTATATCTAGCAACAGTAAAATGATGAGACCTATCTGCCAATCTAGTACTGTGCTTAAATTCATGAAGTCGAGGTACCAAAGGGGAAAATTAAGAACAACTGCCATGAAAATATTTATAGAAAAGGCATAGTAAAGCTACATTACAGCATTGGGAAAATGATTGGATTGAAGCCAAGATGTTAGGTCAGGGCTGATAACATTGCAGATACGTGTCTGGATTTTGCCAAGTATATTTAGATAAATTGCAGAAGAACCAGACCAGATGTGGCAACACTATTCAATGCATGGACAAATGATCGCACAAGACAGATTTTTTTTTAGAGGGGGGGGGGATTGTCTTGGCAATCAATTCAATATAACATATTTTGTGGCTTATAAGACACTCTGATGCATTAGACACACCCACAAAAAATTTTGAGGGAAGAAATCAAAAAAAAAAAGTTTTCCTTGTACTTCAACAATTCCCAACTGTACCCACTGAATAGCATATTTCAACATGAAAACATAACAACTCATGACAAATTCGTCACAGACCAAGAAGCACCAAATTTATAGCAACTACTTAAAATATAATAATTAGAAGAGCAGTTAATTCCCATCACCAACTTTCGATTTTGTTATACTGGAACATACCTATTCTATTATTAATAAACTCTCCCACATATAATAAGGAGGAATAGTAGCAGTCGCCAGGGGGCTCAGAGAGTTGGTGAGTCAGTCGATGTCGGACATTAAAGTATCAACCACCCCAACTAGATTGCTGCATCATTAACTATTATAACAAGTTCCTAATGTTTTGTACGTCGAACCTTTTTAGGACCAACTTAGTGAAATACAAGCCTCCACTGTGAAACTACTCTATAAATAGAATGTAGGGTAGTTTTTGGAGATATTTCATAGAAAACAATGCATGTTATAAGCAATAAAATACAGTAATCATTTCAATTCATATTAGTGGAAAACTTTAGTCCAAGAAAATGGAAGGAGTTACTCTCGTGGAGGTTAGCATCAGCCATGCTGATGGAAGGCAAAAAAAAAGGTTCTCTAAGAAGCTTAAAAGAGCCATTTCTTTCCCTAGTTAACAAAAGATTCAAGTTAATTTTGGAGATTAGCAGCCAATTTGACTTTATCGAAGAAGTCAGGAGTAATTAGTTTGGTCATTGGCAGAGATATCAAGTCAAAGAACTAAGAACCTCAACTGCCCAATCTCTTGTATGCCTCTATTTGGACAATTTCAATCATTGCGTATTTATAAATTTACCAATGCTGAAGGATATGAATTAACTAAATTTTCTCTAACTTCTCCATTTTTCTTAACCTTGGTGCTAATCTAAGACATCTGTCGACACAATGAGCTTATTTCTACCTCTAATCTACTCTATTGTTAATTATTAAACTATCAAAATTTACATTTTGTTAAAAGTTTACATTTCACAAAACTGTTAAAAAAAAAAAAAAAAATCAAAGAATTGAAATGTATTTCATGTTGCAAAATAATCTTCAGACATTGATTTTTATTTTGAATTTTTCCTCAATATTACAAAAGTGAATTCGGAATGGAAAAATGAAAAAGACAGTAACAGCCTCCCCCTCATATTTGTTTCACTCTTTCTTCGTCTATTTTTCATAGAATGAAATTGCCTATGTGGAATAATTCTCTTTCCTCACCATGACAAACAAAGAATATACTTTTTTTTTACCATCAGAAGTAGTTACATGATGTCACAGGAATATGATTATAAGGAGAAGAGAAAAAAATCATCTCTTGAATTTATTAGATGAAATTTTGCCTCATATTTCTTTCATTTTATTCCTCTTACTTTTCCACCAAATAGTAATTGTCTTAAGTTGCCTGAATTCCTTAGTTTAAGATGATTTAAAATTTGTGATATGAGTAATATCAATCACAATGGACTTTTACTGTAGAATTAATATGCATTCAAAAAGAAAAAGACAAAATAGAAAAAGGAAGTAAGAAAAAAGAAGAGAAGAAAAGAGAAAAGAAAGGAGGAGGAAGAAGGAGAAAGAGACAAGAAAATGAAACTAAACGAGAAGAAAATGAAACTAAACGAGAAGAAAAATGAAACTAAACGAGAAGAAAATGAAACTAAACGAGAAGAAAATGAAACTAAAAGAAGACAAAAACAAGAGAGTCTGAACTTACCTCCTGAGTATTTTTCTCAAGTTCTACCAACTTAGCAACTTGTCTTACTAACTGAGTACTGGGACTGGCTGTCTGCGTAACAGGTTTCTCACCTGGATGGAATGTAGGTGGGGGAAAAAAAGAACAAAAAAACAATCAGCTGAATAAAAAGAAAAGCTACAATAAAGAAATTGATAAGAAAGAGAAGTTGAATTTCCTAAAAAAAAATATTTTAAGCAAAAAGATTTTACAAATTTCAATCAAGTTAACTTGAACAATGAATGTTAACAGTTACCTGCATGGAAACAGCTAATCTCAACATTACCATTGATTGGTTAAATGTTGTGGTGGAGGAGAACACAGATAACTAAATAGATAAAAGACAATAAAAAATAAAGGAGGGGAAAAATTAACTCACCTGGTTTTCTTTGGGTGATATCTATAATAACCGGACAGGAACTGAGGAGGTTAGCTTGCTGAAAAAGAAAAATTTTTTTGGGTCAAAGATTTTGTCATGGGTCCTTACCTATAACTACAGAATGAACTCTTCCTAACACTATGTATACTACGCCTCTCATGAGAGAGGGATGAATCGAGTCAAGCCGATAGTAGTTCACTCCAAACCAGACTGACAATCATACTAACACCTTCCACATCTTGTATTATTATTTCATGTAATATACCTTCATTATTTCTACTCTTGTGTTCGTGTTGTTCTTCCTTGGTCCTAACCTGGACCATAACAGATTTAGATATATTATTTTACCAGCATACCAACCCCACAGGTCATTTCATGCCAAATTATTTAGTTTTAAGACTTGTTTTTAATTTGTGTCTATTTTGCAAACAAATTCTTTTATAAATCATTATTACATAAAGGTGAGGATGTAATTTGATTTTAGTTACATTTTGTAGCCGGGTGTTTATTTAGTTTTCTTTTTATATTTTGGGGCAAGGTTCCGTTACTTTTAAAATTCTCGAATGGCCTTGGGTTCAACACTCTCAAAGAGAGCTCTAAGGGTGGGTACATTGTAGAAGTATTTTTGTATAAGTTCCAGTTTTTTTACCAGTTAAAAAATGTCTGACAATGAATACTTCTTGGCATTTTAGAAGGTCTTCAGAGGAAGTCTTCAGAGTGGGTTATGTGGGCGTGTCTGATTTTGACTCTTGCAAGTGTGGCATCATCTTTTCTTGAGTGTTTTGTACTATGATGTTGTACAGTCAGAATGGGTTTTATTTGATATAGTTTGTTTGTGTGCGTATTCCATGATTTTTGTCATTGGTTGTAAGAGTTAATTGTGGCTTTCAAGTCTATCAAGGGGATTTTTTTAATTTGATATGGTCATTGAGAGGGATTCCTTGGCTGCCGCATCAACCCTGCTATTCACAGGGATCCTAATATGGCTAGAGATGCAACATAATATAATGTGTTTCTGATTGAGTAATCAAAGACAGAGAAAAAGCAACTGACAAGAAAATATTGATTTATTTTTTTATATATTTTTCAGGTTTATTCACATCATCATTAGAACAACTCCCCCTTCCCCCAATACTCATATAATAATTGTGCTTGTCCCTCCTTGTGTTAGTTCCTTAGTTCAAATGACCATTAAACCCTGTTTGATTTGATTTTGTTTAGCAGCATATCAACCTTTATGGCAGTGGTTTCTAAACTTTTTTCTCTGGGCCACATTTTCGGAATGAAAATTTGCTTGCACCTCATCAAATTCTATGTGATAAAAAGTACATTTAAAAATAAAAAAATATAGAGCGGTTAAAGGGAGATAACCGCGGATTTGAAGTCAGAATATTATCATTGATAACTTTCTCCTCCAATTTGCAGACCCTAGTTACTATATTCTTAATACTTGATATAATGCAAAAATATCACAATGATAAAATCAGTCAATAATTATTTATAACTATTTATACTGGGATCCATGCATGCAATTACAAGTAATCCATAATAATATTTTAAATTTTGAAATCATATTTTATTTTTGGCATATGAATTTTTGTTTCTAAATCTTTGTCTTTCAATCATTCTATGGATGCACACTGCACTGTTTGGGAACCAATGTGTTAAGTGAACAAAAGCTAACATCAATATAAATCTCATAACTTTAGCATTGTAAACGTTCAATGGTTTAATTGCCAAAAATCATCGTTTCTAAATCTTTGATTGTCTTTCAATCATTCCATCTCACTTGTTATCCTCTTCCACCGTACATATGAGGCACACTTCATCATTTGGGAACTGCTCTATGCCTTTAACTAAATTGTTTGCCTTCAACTACAGATGAAATGTATTGTTGGTAATTCTTCAATAAAATCTATTGCTGGTATTTTACTATAAAAATCTTTTCTTTTTTTTTTTTTAATATTTTCAGAATATTTTATTTGGGGGCTAACTATTTGCCCATAGATGGGACCCTAACAGGTGCTGCCACTCTAGGTCAGGGTGGACCTGGGAATAGCAGCAATTAAGAGGTGGTTCCACACTCCTCAAAACCTCCTGATCAGAGGCTTTGCTGCCAGATATAGTTTATCGTCATACCCAGGACTATTGCATTTTGATCACGTGAAAAGACATGACATATCAGAGATGCTACTTGATTTCAGTGAAAAAAAGAAAGATAGAAGTGTTTAACGTCTTTTGTTAATACCTCATAAAAAATTGATTATTCCATTTTGATTGCATGAATTCTGGTAATCATATTTCCATCTCCATTATGATTTATTAGCAAAGTCTAACCTCCTCATATTGACTGTTTAGAATGAAGAGGGTTTCCTTTCATAACAAGGCTTTCTTGAATAGTTAATGTCCGAGGACCAGTGGAATTTAGTTTTTAAAAATTAATCAAATTGTACAATGCAACAAAATTACACAGCACTTATTTTGATTAACCATGTTACTTAAAACGTTTATTTCACTACTTATGTAAATGTAAAAAAAAAAAGTTTTATTTATTTTCATTCAGTTTGTGTTGCTGTGCTCACAACTTCTGCGATTTCTGTTGTAATTATAGTTCATGGTGACATTCAAGGCAAAATAGTGCAATGGCTTGCCGGTTCCTTTTGCATCGATGATGCTGAGGTTAACCTGTTCTTCCCCTCAGAATTGCATTGAGGGATATTCTTAAAAAAATGTTTCATCTTCGTCATGAGTGATGAAAAAGAGGACAACTCAACACTTGGGCAAGTCGCCATATCTGTCCAGGCAGTAGCAGCCAAAAAGAAAAAAAAGAAAAAAGAAAAAAAGCTGCTATGATCATAGACAAAAGGTGTTTTAAATTAATTTCCAGCTTAAAAGATGAAAAATTAGAAAAATGAGTTATAGTCAAAATTACTAAACTTTTTTTTTTATTTTCTTTACCATGGACATATAAGGGGTGTTGAAAAGTTCTCGGCCTAAAATCCATCCAAATAAGCAAAGACTTTCTTTTTTTTTTTTTTAAATCCCTTCTTGGTCAAGACAAGAATTCTTCAACTTCTATATATCACACATACACAAATGAAGAAATACAGTTCTATGGCATATCAATTACTCTATAATGGTCACAGAATACCAAACAAGATCTCTGATTTTACCTTTTTTAAATGATATAAAGTATGGGAGTTGGTGGGTACAAAAATATGTTCATAGGTAATCTAGAATTAGCTGGCATATCTCAGTTCCCTATTATTTTCTTTAATTAATCTGTTGAATATAACTGAAAGAAGTCAACCACTTCCCCCTTGCCCATGCCAATTCATTGGTAAAAAGACTTACGTTCATTAGCTGAGTAGCTCTGATGGTCAAGTTGTTTAATTCTGTCTTACCAGGAACATCATCAGGAAGTTCTCCTATTTTGACCAATCCAGTTTTACTTGTGAGTCCAGTAGGTTTCTTGGGCACAAAGAGAGGTGGCAATTTGGCCATTTGATCCTGCAGAAGGAAGGACACATTAAAAAATTATAGTTTAATTAAAATTCTAAGAAATTTATGCTGTTAAAATTAACAAATCAAACAGCAACAAGTGTAAAAGCAAGAGAAATAAGATGAATGAAATACTAGTCAAAAATGAATAATAATTGACAATGCTTCATCTAAGAAATTCAGACAACTTTTACTACTTGGTGGAAAAGCAAGAGAAATAAGATGAAAGAAATATTAGTCAAAAATGAAGAATAATTGACAAGGCTTTATCTAAGGAATGTGCAAGCTATTAGTACTAGTTTAAATAAAAAAAAAATCATGGTAATATAAGAAAGAATAGAAATTAATATACTGATATTACTTATTCAAATGATGTTTAATTGCAAAGCCTTGTTAGCTTAATATATTTCAAAAATTTTATTCAATAAGTAAAAATTGAATGAAACATTTGTGACCAACAAGTAAAACAAAAATAAAGAAATAAAATACAGTGTAACCCGGATATAAGAGACCCGGATATAAGAGAAACCCGGATATAAGAGAGATTTTCTCTGGTCCCAAATTAGAGCCTGTGTTAATGTATATAAAATAGACCAAACCCGGATATAAGAGACTTCTTCTCCGGTCCCGACAACTCTCTTATATCCGGGTTACACTGTAAAAGGTAGTCAAGTCCTACCACCTTTAGATTTTAAAATGTTATGCATCAGAAGTATAAAAAAAAAAAAAAAAAAAAAGTATTTGCAACCAATAAACTCACAGAAGCAGAGAAAAAAAATTGTCTTTATTTTGACTTCTGGTAACATTTTTTCTTTTATATACAATCAAAATATGAAACCAGTGAAAGTTTATTAAAGTATGAAAAAACAAAAGTTTCCTTATCTGTTTTGCTTTTCTATCACTTAACAAGTTTCCACTTTTGATCTCCCATCCAAATCCTAGCTATCTCAAAGCTCTTTTTCCCCTAAAGTGACAACCAAGAGAATTACTCACCCGGAGTCTGCCTCCCTTTAGTCGGATATTTTCTCTTATCAAATGGTTTAAAGCTTCCTTCAAACTGGAAATCTACAAAACAAAGCTCAAACATTAGACAAAAAAAAAAAAAGTGAGAGGCAATTTTTTATATTTCTATATTTGATCATAATAGAGTTTTTTTTTATATACGCTTAAAATAAATAGACAAAACTTGTCTAAATTATTTAATGAAACATGAATGTGTGTGTGTGTGTGTGTGTGTGTACGCACGCAAATGTCAGTGAGTCACACCACTTTCAACTTTACTACTAGAGGCCATAGCCCAACATGTTATGCTATTTTGGAATCAGTCCGACTCCATGTGTGTGTGTGTGTGTATATAAATATATATATTTATTATACACACACAGACAGACATGCTATTATGGAATCAGTCCGACTCCGTGTGTGTGTGTGTGTGTGTGTGTGTGTGCAAATGTCAGTGTGTCACACCATGTTCAACTTTACTACTAGAGGCCATAGCCCAACATGTTATGCTATTTTGGAATCAGTCCGACTCCATAAGCAAATTAAAAACATCCCAGGCCGGATCCATACATACAATTCTGAAATTTTGGATCCCCAAGTTTTCATTACTGTGATTGTTTTCAAGGAGTTTTTATGACAAATTCTTTTCTATTCTACAATAACAATTTTTATAAATTGGAAATAAATTTGGGAATAATCGAAATTAATTGTGAAAATCCATTGAAAATCACCCATGAAATAAAAGTAATTGTTTTTACAGAAAGTAAGGACCTACGTACATAAAATTGTCTTTAAATTTAGTGGCCGCAGAAGAATTATCATCATTGAACTTTTAAAAAGTAAGCTTAAATATTAATGCAATACTTATACAGCGATCAATTTTGAGATCTTCTGTAGTTCGTTCTTGCCTATCACATACGGCAGCAATATGCCTCACAAAAAGAAATCTCTGCCAACAGAGGACCAGACTGCAATCAAAAGAGCCAAGACTGCAGCGAGGAAAAGAAAGTCCTGTGTAAATGGAAATCCAGATCAAATGGCAACCAGGAAAACTTCCAATACTGAGAATATGCAAAGACTTAGGGACTCTCAAACACCTGAACAAGCTTAAGGCCCAATCAGGACCCCTTTTCAAGGAGCTAGCTTAATTGTCACCCAATAGGATGGCTTTTAAGCTAGTGTGTATGTATGTATGTATGTGTGTGTGTGTGTGTGTATATATATATATATATATATATATATATATATATATATAATGTAAGCAAATGTAAATGGATATAGATCCGACAGAATGAAGAAAAATTTGAAAAAACAAACCAAAAATCCTTAAATGCAATTATGTTGTTTAAAATGAAGGAGGATTTATGAAGCAGGTATAATATCCATCTCACGCACGGTGAATACTAGACCTGGTTTCTTTAATATTTCCCCTTTTTTAGCGAGATTAATGCTCGACAAGCATACACATAAAAAAAAAATAAATAAAATTTTAGATCCTAATAGAATTCTTTTCATTTTCTTTTTCATTCAAAATAATCAAAAATTTTTAGGAATACGTTTTGAAAGCGTCGCCCATGTGACGACAACATGACCATGCTAAACGGAAAGCTGATCATTTTAAAAATTTTCAGTTATCTGTTTTGGATAAGACTTGTTTTTTATGTCCATCGTCTTTGTCAAATTGAACTGAATTGTATTTTAATGAATATTGTCTTGAAGAAGGTTTATTAAACCGAAACGTCAGACGTCGACATTTCATTCATTTTAAACAACATAATTGCATTTAAGGATTTTTGGTTTGTTTTTTCCAAATTTTTCTTCATATATATATATATATATATATATATATATATATACACACACACACACCCACCCTATATTTCCACGTATATGATGACCTTTAGATAAGTTATAAAATACAGCATATTTTTCTGAATTTATCCTACACCTGTAGTATAAGATGGCTGCTTATTGATTGTATAAAGATGATGGTATTGGAAATGTTATTTACTGTATCCTTACAAATTCAAAATAAACAAAATAACAAAACCAATTCTATATGTTTTTCCTACACATGTCCCCTAAAAGGGAAACCACTGTTTTTTTTTTATGTTTCATCATGTGATCTCTTGCAAATACTGATTCTTCTTCTTCTTCTTTTCCTATATCTAAACAGTTACAAACAGCCTGGTGTACTAATGGCCATTTACTTATACTCCATCGACAATCACAAAATACTGCTAATAACAGTATGATAAACTAGGATAATAGTACATTCCATTATTGAGAACTCAATCATAACTCAATGCTTACATTTTCTCAGCTGAACTTGCATGGATACAAGTTGATTTCATTGTTATGGAATGCCAGTAATATATAAGGTAGAAATGGTTTTTCTTATTTTTATTATCAGTTTATTTGATAATGTGAATCTTTTCATGTACGTTATTGGTTATCAAAAGGTTAGCCTACCAATAAACATCATTCAGAATTTAAAAGTTTCTTTTTTAGAATTATTGTATAAGAAAACTCCCAATTTTTAAGGGTGATTTTTTGGATTTAAAGGTCATCTTATATGCAGAAATATATGGGGGGGGGTACATATATATATATATGTGTGTGTGTGTGTATATTTGGGCAGCAATCCTCCTTTTATACGAGTTTCATTAAAGATGACCGACGAGGTACTGCGATTAAGTTTTTTTTATAAATTTTTCTTGTGTTCTTATAATTTTCTTCTTTTCTGAACATAAATTTTGTAAAAGTTGTCCAAATGTTTTGTATGTCTAGATACACACATAAAACAATCTGTACATTCAATTAAAAATAAAAAGAAAATCATCCTTGATAATGGCTAAAAGTATAGCTGAAAATGCTTGGACATACAAAACATTTGGACAATTTCTACACAATTTACGCCCAAAAAAGAAGAAAATTATAACACTAGAAGAATTAAATAAAAAACTTAACCACAGTATCTTGTCAGTCATATTAATGAAAATTGTGTGTGTGTGTGTGTGTGTATATATATATATATATATACATATATATATCTCAAGAACATCATTTGCTCATTTCTGTTTATTAGATATTGAATTGTGCCACTTGACGTCCTCTATAGCTTGTCTAGACTTTTAGGCTAACCTGATTAATATTTATGAGCATTTCTTTAATTTAAAAATTTAGAAAAAATATTTCTGCTCTTGCATTTGCCTTGATAAAGTTTCTCATAGGAAGAAACATGTATACGTATGCATGTGTGTGCGTATATATATATATATATATATATAATTATTTATTTAAAAATATGATTCCAACCTCTTATGTCTCGACTTGGAATCATATTTTAAATAAATAATTATATTTATGCTCTACTTTTTGTATTGAGCACTATTTTTTAAAAATAATAACTAAATTACTAAGGAACTTTGGATTATTTACCTAACCAGTTCTTTTTCCTTTTTCTATATTTTTCACATTATATATATATATATATATATATATATATATATATATATATATATATATATATATAATGTTCCGTTACCACAGTACAGCACTTCCATCCTTTTGTTTTTTTTTTTACTTGTTCATCCCCTTTTTAATCTAGGTATACATGTGCTGTTTGGCGACCTCCAGTGCTGTCAAAGGTCAATCTATATTATTATTATTATACATCTTTTCTTTATCTCTGAAAAAAAAAAAAAAAAAAAAAAAAACAGGATCTTTCCATTTGGTTATAACATCTGAACCTACATGCTTCAGCATGGGAATAAGGATGCATTGCAAATCATTTTAATCATTGCATCATGCATTCCACAAACCATTACATTAGTTGACGGGACACCACATGTAACAACTGGTATGTCTAAGGCAACATACCCTGACAGAGCCCAAGCTTCTTCAGGCTGATTTTGAATTCTCTTTTCCTTCTCCAAGACTAGTTGCCCTACTAAGGCTGAAGAATCTAGTCAGCACTATTTCACCCATAGCTACAGAGACATGGATTCCAAAGGCTTAGTGCTCAGGGAACAAAACATTTAGTCAGAATCCTGTATTAGTAAGCATTACACTACACACCCAGCCAAAGGTTTTAATACTAACTATTTAGAAAAAGAAAAGTGAGACATAAAAACACTTACTTGTTGCTTAAGCATTGGTGACTCTTGTACACTGACAGGTGTGGTAGCAGGTGGGGTTGTACCTTGATATAAAAATTAAAGAGAAAGAGGAGGACATGTTAGACTTAAATTCAGAAAAAAAATAAGATTATAGTTTGTCAAAAATCACAGGTGAACTTTTAAAATTAAAAAAAAAAAATCCTTGCTGTCATGAAGTCTTAAAATTATTAAAGTCATAATTTACATTAATCAGCAATAGTATAAGCATAAGGTCAAACAAAGAGCAACTCATTTTCTGGTGTGGACACACAGCGGTGTAATTGATAGTTGATCAGAATGAGAAAATGGAGAGCCAAGTTCAAATTCAAGTCAAGTCTGTTACATTCACTTATTTGCAAATACCTCTCGGGAAAGGTATGAATCCATCTCTTCTATTCTCAGCTATGGATAAATAGCAGTACAGGCAGGACTCTACTGCCTTGGTTGGCAACCAGTCTAGGTTAAGAAAAACTTGTTTCAAACCAGTCTGAACTTCACTGAACAGAGGGCCTTGAATTCCATCAGGCTAGTTTGCCCATGATATGCAACTGCTGCTATGGATGCAGTAAATGTGGTACCCCTACAAACCTAAGGAGTTATAGAACATGCACTTGTGAATCTCTTTGTAACCTAAATCTTGCCTTTATAACTAATGTTTAAAGTATTAATGTTAAATTACTTAGGATGGTTAATTTAGGAACATAGGAACACTTGTGGGTTCTTTAATGTCACTGTATGCTTTTTATTATACTCAAGTCTATAGGTACATGTCAGTTGGGTTCATACTCAAGTCAAGAGTAATTATTGGTCACATTTACACTGATCCCTCGCTAATTCGTGGTTCTAATATTGCAGATTCGCAACTTCATGGATTTTTAAAATATATGGAAAATATATCGTGGAGTTTCTGGAAAATTCTAGAAAAATCGCGATATATGAACACCTAAAATTTTTTTATTAAAATATTAATAATAGATATTATTTCCTGGTCTAGGAACAACAAAACAGGTGTAAAATAGCAATAGAAAGGACACCGCCGTCCGAAGAGACGTAAAATACAATTATCGGCTGCACAGTAGAAGTCATCATCAGCTTCATCATCATCATTTCTACTGTGCAGCAAATTCATCATCATCATCATTCAAATTCTACTTCAAATTCTATCGTGTTGAATACAGTAACAATCTTTATTTTTTTTTTTAATCTAAAGTGTTATTGCTTAACAGTTGTCCTTGTTATTAATAGAGTATTGTAATGGGTGGGTTGTTAACAGTACAGGGAGGGTTTTAAAAGTTCAAATACACATTAAATAAATACTGTAAATATGGCGGCCCTACTTCGCGGAAATTCAGTTAATCGCGGCCAGTTTTGGAATCAATCTACCGCGATAAACAAGGGATCACTGTATACATGAGTCTGCAAGAATCTCCACCTAGAAGGAGTCTTTTTGGGGATGGCCTTATCTCCTCTGCAGGGCTCGCAATAAACAGATTCCAGGCCCCACCCACTGGTTCAATAGATTTTTGATTTCTATAAACTTGTTTTAACCGATAACTATCACTAATAGAAGAAATATGTAACAATCCGAGATAAAATTCTGGCTCCAAATTTCTTTGTTATACTTTTTCTAAGCTTGATATGGGCATGTGACCAAGTGGTCAGAACATTCACTTTCCAACCAAGAGACCCAGGTTAAACCTCGACACATGAATGTTATTGACATATTCTTGATACCAACCGAACAAGATGAACAAAAAGGAGAGAATGAATGTATGAAACTGACTTCAGACAATCTTTTATGGTTTCAAAATCAGCATTTGAAATATACCATGTATACTCGAGCATAGGTCACACTTTCTTTTTACCAAAGTTTTGATAAAAATCAGGAGTGCGACCTATCCTCTTGACATCATAGAGAATTTTTCTTGACATTTTGATTTTACATAATCACCTCTTCCAACAGTACCGTGTTGGGCATCAAATAAAAGTGTTCAATCTGCACTGCTCACAGTTACCATTTATTATCTGATTTATGACAAAAGACTATCATTTTGAAGTGATTTTAGGACTGAAGGAATTACTGGTAACCACATCATTAAAAAGAGCAGCCCCATACTCAATAAGTAAATACCATGCAATTACAACCAGTCACTTTTATCTATCTTATATCTATAATTCTCAAAAGAAAAAAAAGTGTGTATGTGTGATCGGATGGTGTATATGCATTTCAACAGTTTTCATCAGATTTTGAAATTTTTTTCGTTTGACATCAATGCCAGTTTTGAGTCCAAATTATCGGCGACAATGGCTCTCCACTACTTCCTGTCCATTATAACTCTCAGCAATGTTTTACTATTTACTATCAGTTCTTGTATATATCTTATAAAAACTTTAATAAAAATAGTTTAAATTATCACAATAATATCTATATCTATAATTCTCAAAATGTGTGTGTGCATACATGATTGGATGTTATTTATGCGTTTCCACAGTTTCCATCTGAACGCTTCTGCGCGCAAGGCTGAAAATAATGATTAAAGTACTCAATGACTGAGGAGAAATGCCTCTTAAACAGCTGCTGCATGTGAGGCTGAAACAAGATTGAGAACACAAAAACAGCACTTTACAGGGTCACAACCATTGAAATTGTTAACACCACCCAGTCACCCCACCACCACCACACACACACACACACACATTTGGGGATGTGCCTTAGTTGCACCTGATTGTTGTTACTAATACTGATTTTTGGGTGGGCTGACTTAAACTGCTCCAATTGAACAGCAAAAATTCCCAATAATGGAAGCCCCAAAGACAAGTTATACTGCCAGTGTTTTATTAAATGTAAGGTAAGTTTTAAAATAAAGGTGAATATTTTAAAATATTTAACAAATATTAGTTATATTTATGTTAAAAAGGGGCCATTAACTCCCTCGATTATAGTGCGACCTATCTGTGAGTCAACCGCAAATACCCACTTTGAAAGCCCCAAACTAAGCTTGTGATGCATACTATAGCAGGGGGTCAACAACCAATGGCACCCATGCCACACAGCCACAAATGACATCATGAAGTCCAAACCAATAACTACTACAATGATATTTAGTTGTCTCAATTTTAATATATACTAAAGTATAGTTAAATTCCCAGATGAATTCTGTGGACAAGACAGATTGGTATAAATTGACAATTGGAAAAAAAATCTTAGATTTTGCTGACGCATTTCGTCTTCTGACTTTTTCAAGGCAAAAATGAAATCAAAATATTTTTGTTGTTATAGTTACATTAAAAAATCCAAATTTAAAAAGATAGATGCTTCTTTCTAAGCCTTTTTTTTCTGATTAATGTAAATTACCTTTATAGTAAGGGATTTTTTTTCCATGTCGACAATATAGTTAAATTCCCAGGTATATTGGCATTGACTTGCATAAAAATACATATGCTGTTGGCACAGAATGATTTTAAAATGATAAGTCGGCACATAGTTAGCAAAAGGTTGCTGAACCCTGTACTAGGGTATATACAGTAAGTGATTGGTTGTGTTTCTTTGATTAAAAAACAGTTTAAAGTTATATCCTTACCACCAGTGTTGTTACGCGACAGGCCGTCCATCAGATGTTTGCGTGTTGCATTCTTGTATTTGTTCTCCAACGCTAACCGTTCTTCTTGAAGGTGGTCAATATCTTCCTGCATCATGCGAACATTCTCTTCATACATCCTGCAGGCAAAAATAGAGAAAAAATAAAAATATATCTCATTTGGCCCCTAAACAACAGATTGAAGCACATCAACACAACCTCTTTTCAAAAAGAGTATCCATTTCAAAATTTTTTAAAATGGATTCATGAGCACATACATGATAGAATTACCAACATAAATTCTTGTAATGTAAGACTATAATATACTTTTATATGTATTTTTAAAACTTTTCAATAAGATGTTAAACATTATGTTCAAAGTTTATCCACAACTTTGCACATATTTAACATCTTATCCAAAAGTTGGAAAAGTATAACAAAAAAGTAAACAGACAGACCGTGTCAGTTCTTTTTAATCAAAATTGTTTGTGTATATATATATATATATATATATATATATATATATGTTTACATTGTTCAGACTGTTGTCCTCATCTTTGTCATATCCACAACATTTCAGGTGTTGTACAGTTCGGACTTCTTCAGGTGAAATATGTTGGAATTTCAAACCAAACCCTTTATTTCGTCCACCGGGGTAGATTGTTCTAGTTCCACATGCCATGCCTTTTCTGGATATTTCAGTTACAGTTATTTCCCTTTAGTAACTCAACTCTTCAAGTTTTGTTCACCAATGCTGTGGCCAGGTATTGAACTCAACTCTTTGGGTCAAGTCACTGCATTACTTCAACCAACATTTTTATCCACTGGGCCATGTGACGTTGAGAGTATATCACCTGAAGAAGGCCGACGCATACAAAGGCCAAAATGTTGTAGATACGGCAATAAAGATGAGGACAACAGTCCAAACAATGTGAACAGTGTAAATATTTACAATACCTCATCCCAGAAATAAATATGTATGCATGTATGTATGTAGGCGCACATGTCCGAGTGGTTACAACGTTTGCTTTTAGACCATGAGACTGGTTCAAATCTCACCATGGTCAATTTGTCAGGAAGGAGACTTCCTGATGTTATTGGTCTGGAGAGGGTAATCCCAGCGTGAGGCACCTTTGGAAAATGCCTGAAAACCATACCACAAGTTGACCAAAACCTTGTCAGTGAAATTGTGTAGACGGTACCCTTGAGGCTGTTGATAGTTGTGCTAGCACAAAGTCATAAGTCGTCTTGACCAAGGGTTTGAGCATGCTGGCCTTGATCAGATTGTTGATCACAGTAGATATAACATGCTCTTTCCCAGAAACTGTAACTAAGGTCTGCTCAGCATAATTGTAGTATAAACCACAGGTGGGTTCTGTGGATGTTGAACAAACATAAATGTGCCTGACCATGGATCTGCAATAGGGATTGGCTAGCCATCATAGTCAAATACAAGTGGCCAGATATATATATATATATATATATATATATATATATATATATATATGTGTGTGTGTGTGTGTGTATTTAGGCAACACTCCTTCATTTATACATGTTTCATTAAAGATGACAGACAAGGTATTCTGTTTCAGCTTTGCATTTAATTTTTCATGTGTTCAAAGAAGTGTATTCTTTTCTGGATACAGAGTGTGTAGAAACTGCCCAAATGTTCTGTAATTTGAAGTGCTTTCAGCTATACTTTTAGCCATTATCAAGGATGATTTTATTTTTGCTTTTTAACTGGGTGTATAGATTTGTAGGTTTCTAGAGTTTTTTTTTATTTTCCAAACACACCACATTGTAGCTATGTTCATAGTTAATATTATTGAGTGTTGGCTTTTTCTTTTTTATTATCAATGCTGCCATTATTTTTAATCTTTTTTTACATGTGAATGAGGTTAAAAAATATAATCATCCTTAATAATGGCTAAAAGTATAGCCAAAAGCACTAACAAAACATTTGGACAGTTTCTACACATACTGTCCAGAAAATAAAACAATTGTTTGAACACATGAAAAATCAAATAAAAAGCTTAATTGTAGTACCTTGTCAGTCATTTTTAATGAAACGTGTGTGTGCGTATGTATTTTATCACTTTAAACACTTTTACTGGATACTCTTATTTGAGTAGACACACTGTTTATTTATTAAACAGTATAATTATTTATTTTCCTCTACCAGCCTGAATATTTGAGAAATCTTATTAAAAAAAAAACATGCACTACATTTCAAATTCAAATATACATGCATATGAAAATTTTGAGAGATCTATGATGAGAGAAATTTTGCTTACTGATATTATCTGATATTGCCTGATTGGCTAAGTTCTCTAGAGCCCAATCAGTCTAGACCATAACAGATCACAATGATTCCCTCTGTTCAGGAGTATGCAGGTTCATGTCCTTTCAGAGAACACATTTTTTCCCCCATAAGATTTCTTGAATATTCAGGTTAAATATTCTTGAATAAATATACTTGTTTAATAAATAAACAGAGTATCTACTCTAATATGAGTACCCACTAAAAATAATGTTTAAAGTGATAAAATCTGTTGGATTAATAAATAAAAATCTATTACATCTTTATATATAAATGCAGCAAAAATTCATTTAAATAAATTTTGTTAAATTCAACTGACAATTTTTAATTTTCTTACTAATAAAAAAAACATGTGCTTTTCAATGAAATGAGAAATAAACAATAAAGTAGGACTCACTCTTCCATGGAATTTTGTTGTTTTTTTTTTGTTTTTTTTTCATGTATTGTATTTAAGAAATTTGATTCTGGCCTCATTGTTTGCCACAATTAGGGTTGTGGAGGGTTTATAGAAGGCTCCCTGTCAAAACTATTCTCTGAGTAAAACTAAATCCCTGTTTAATCTTTTAAATGTGATCCTATTTTGAAAATGTGTTATAACTCAGATTTATGTCATTCTTGTTGGCAAATTATATATATATATATATATATATATATATTGTGTATCATCTGCAAGAAAAAGAGCACCATGACGCAATTCACTCTACCAGAAATTTGGAAATAGCATGCTGTACTCCTTAATATTCAACGCCAGAATCTCCAATACAAACATTTCAGAGTGTTTGAGGACAGTGCAGAGGATTCATAAAGAGTTGGATAAATTTAATGGTTATGACAAAGGTGTTTGGAGTGATCACTTGTGATGACAATGTTATACCTCCAGTCAACTTTCCACGGGACTTCAAGCTCAACACGTAAGCCTACATCACATGCTTTGAGAAAGCAGTGCTGCCCTGAATCAAGAGGATGACTACTGAAAGACCCTATATCTGGCAATAGGACTTCACCATGCCATACAAAAAGGAGAACCCAGTCATGGCTGTCAGACAATGTAACCACATCACCCCTTACATCTGGTCACTTAACTCCCTAGACTTGCAACCCACTTGATTATTATGTGTGGGGTGCGTTTGAGCAAGAGACCAACAAAACACCTTATAACACCAAAAATGAACTGAAGGCAAGGATTATGGCAGCATTCACCAACTTAAACAAGGAGACCATCCAGAAGAGATGCAGGAGATCCCAAAGTCATCTGGAGGCTGTGGTTGAAGCCAATGGCGATTTTATTAAATAAATTTATTCTTTAGTATTTCAAGATATTTTGTGAAATTTTGCTAAGTATATTTGTTAAAATGAAATGTCAGTATTATTTTCATTTTTGCATAATTTAGACAACAATTTATCCATCGGCTCGTGTGTATATATATATATATATATATATATATATACATTCATTTAAATAAATTTCATTAAATTCAACTGACAATGTTTAATTTTCTCATTTTAATAAAAAAAACATTAAATTCTTAATTCTCACATAACTTGTCACTTGTTAAAACTTTGTGCAAGTCATAGCCTTATCTGTTATCACATCACAAAACAACCAAAATACAACATAAAACCAATATTAATAGATAATGTCAAAATTCTATATACTACTCACTGCAAGAAAAAACTCAAAATACCTGAAACTATTATTGTACAAAAGAACCAATATATATGTATATTTGAATTTGAAATGTAGTTAACAAAATCTTGTCGGCCATACTAATAACATTTAGTTTTTGATAAATGGACTCAGACAAAAGTCTTCTTTTATGTGCAATATTCCTTCAGGACATAGTCAATCATGGCTCTCCACAACTTCCTGAACAAAAAAAAAAATGAACTTTAACCAGCTTATCTACAAGACAGTTTATTTGGACATGCAATTTGAAAATTAGAAAAATACAGTAAAGATTAAACAGACATTTTATTGTCTGAGCAACAGACAAGATACACAGGGATAAGGCAGAGGTGTCTGGTGCCAAGCAGCTGATCAGGTATGTAGAAGGAGAGTGGGGAGATTATATGCAATGGAAAATGCTCGCAAATGTACAGGAAGTGTGTTCTGAGCAATGGACAAGGCTCACAGAGTGATATCAGGAGTGCAAAGCAAAAGAAAGGACAAACAGAGGGATGATGGGAGTGCATAGCAACAGACAAGACTCAAAGATGGATAATGGCAGTGCAAAGCTACAGAGATGCTTCAAGGAAAGAAAATGGGGGTGAAAAACAACAGAAAGAACACAGGGGGACAATTGAGGTGTAAAGCTACAGACTAGGCTCACAGCAGGATGATGATGGTGCAAAGCAACATAAAGGACACACAGGATGATGGGTGTGCTGAGCCACATAAAAGGACACACAGTCTAAGTGAAAATGCATAGATCTGTCCATACTTTTGTTCTTTCTCCAACTGTGCCTGTAGATCCTCAACTTGTTGCTTCAGTTTCTTGCCTTCATCTTCAAATTCTTTTGTAGCCGTTTCCAGTTTCTTCTCAGCCACCTTCACTTTCAATTGCTGTTGGCTCAGTGTCTCTTGCTACAACACAAAATAATCATCATCTTAAACTCATGTCACCTGATGATGGGCAGAGATTATAACAAGTGAAATATGACAAAAGCCATATTATACATATATATCATGATAGCCTTAACATTGTAAAATTTCAATGTTTTAATTGCCAAAAATCATCATTAATGTCATTATTTAATAGATAAGACTTATGAAATCTATAAGAGTGTTTGATAATTGAATGACAAAATGGGAATGAAGTTGTGCATCTAGACACGTTAAATGCCAGTAATGTTAAAATTTGGTGTTTCTATATCTATTTCCTATCAGTACATTCCTCCCAGCTTGCCCTACATATATAATTTCATCAATAAGAACATTATTTTAAAATGAAGTACTTTTAAGGGACAAAAAGCATTATATAGAATTCTTCCTGTTTTGTCATTCAATTACACAATATTGTTCTGATACATATTGTTTCTATTAAGTCAGTGGTTCCCAAACTTTTTTCTGCTCTGGGCCGCATTTTCAGAATTAAAATTTCCTTGTGCCTCACCAAATTTTATGTGATAAAAACTAAATTTAAAAATAAAAAAACAGAGAAAGGGGGTTAAACAGAGATAACTGCAGATTTGAAGTCAGAACATTATCATTGATAATTCTCTCCTCCAATTTGCAGACCCTAGTTACTATATTCTTAATACTTGATATCTTGATATAATGCAAAAATATCACAATGATAAAATTAGTCAATAATTATTTATAACTATTTATACTGGGACTCATGCATGCAATTACAAGTAATCCATAATAATATTTTAAATTTTGAAATCATATTTATTTTTGGCATATGAATTTTTGTTTCTGAATCTTTGATTGTCCTTCAATCATTCTATGCATGCACGCTGCACTGTTTGGGAACCAATGTGTTAAGTGAACAAAAGCTATCATCAATATAAATCTCATAACTTTAGCATTGTAAACGTTCAATGGTTTAATTGCCAAAAATCATCATCAATGTTGTTATTTAATAGATAATGTCTAAATAAAGAAACAAATAGAAAACCCTTCGTAAATTTTACATGTTTCCAAGAACTTTAACATGGCTCACAGACATGAACTAAAGGCAAGGATTATGGCAGCATTCACCAACAATGGGGAGATTATATGCAATAGACAATGCTTGCAAATGGAAGAATATATAAGTGAACAAAAAATGAGCAGATGTAGCAGCAATATTCAAAACATGGATGAATGGTAGACTTATAAATATGTAAGATAGATTCTTCTTTGGATTTTATCAAGAATCTGTAAATATATAGCAGAAGCACAAGACCAGATAAAAGGCTTATCCTGCTAGAACAATTATGACAGTAGTGAGTTCAATCTTCACTAAGTGCTCCACACTTTCGACCTCGTGCCACATCTAAGCTATGCTTAAAAAATCAAGGGCACTTAAACATGGTGTAATGGTTAGCAAGCTTGTCTTGCTAGATCAAGTACAATTGAGTAGGGAGTTCAATTCTCACTGGGTGCTCCATACATTTGTCCTTGTGCCATATATAAGCTACACTTAGAAAATTACCATAAATTTGACATGTTTTGCTATTTATTTTAATTTAGCTCGGAAATTTTGAGAAGTCAATATGGAGTCATTTTGATTTTTGAATTCTATGTTTTGCTTTGGTTGAGTAGACATCACATATTCACTTTATTATGCGAGTATGTATAGATGTATCAATGTTTGGGTGTTTCCTCATGGTGTCAGAGTTTGTGCATCTAATTCTTGATATGTTAGTGTAATTTAAGTGTACATTATTAGATCATCAAAAAACATTTATGAAATATAATTTTACCCTTAAGTCAGTGCTGGCTGGTCTATTTTTACAGATTATTTAACAAGGCAACATTGATAAATGAACCAAAATGCCTAAAAATTAAAAAATAGTAAAGAAAATGAAAAGTTAACCTTAAGTTTCAGTTGCATTTTCAGATCTTTAATATCTTCTTCCTTCTTGTCAAGTTTATTCTTCATTGATTCTATATCCGCAATACGAGACTTGACAATATTAGCCCGCTCGTAGATTGGGGGCTGAGTCTGAAAGAAAGAAAGAAAAAAAATCTCATAACCACATTAAATGCAATAGCTTTTATTTGAGCTACATTATATAGTACATGAAAAAAACAATTGAGCTACATTATATAGTACATGAAAAAAAAATTGTGCTACATTATATAGTACATGAAAAAAAACAATTGTGCTACATTATATAGTACATGAAAAAAAACAATTGAGCTACATTATATAGTACATGAAAAAACAATTGAGCTACATTATATTCATCTGTGTCACTGAATTTCAGTAACTGAAATTCCTCTCCCACACTACCTGAGCTATATAGAATGTAAGTTGTGATATAGAATATATATATATATTTTATAGTTAACCTTTAACACTCTACATTATTCACTACCTTCCTTTTCACTGTATTGTTTTTCAAGGCTCCTCTACTACACTACTTAATTTCAGTCATGGTTATTTTCTGTTGTCATAGCAGGATATGACAACACAAATGCAAAATTCAAATTAATGAATTCATCTGTGTCACTTGCAGTGGCAGGATAAAATTTTTGCTTTGCAAACAAAATCACCTCCAGAATGTTAACATGTATGTATTGCTCATCATAAGGAGTCTGACCATAATTTCAATTTTAAAAAAATGCTACTTTAATTAAAAGAGAAAGCAGTTTACTAAGATAAAAGTGCAGAGATCACAAGACCCGTAACCCATTAGGGTAGTAGGGGCATCACACATACTGTAGTAGCAGTAGTAATGGTGTTTCCTGGGCAAGATAGCCAACCATTTACAACCTGGTTTTGAATTCAGAGTTTTCCTCCTCTTAGACCAGTTGCTCACCCAACACTATAGGTCCTCATCTGTCCTATTTTACCCATAGCTGGAGGAGTATAGATGGATTCATACCTTACCACAAATTGCTAAATTCTTTTTTTGTATTTTATCAAGAATCTCTAAATATATAACAGGAGTAGCAGACCAGATGTGACAGCAATATTCAAAGCATGGATAAATGGTAGACTTATAAATATGCAAGATAGATACTTCTTTGTATTTTATCAAGAATCTCTAAATATATAACAGGAGCACCTGACCATATGTGGTAGCAGTAGTCTAAGCATAGACCAATGGTAGACTTCTGCAAGGTAGATTCTAGAAAGAAATATTGTCTAACACGACACAGTGAACCAACTTTCTTAGCAAGTGACCTAGCAATGGATTCAACTGATAAGATATGGCTGCTAATCTAGTGTGTGTGTGTCCTGTGACCTTTTAGAGTCATAGAGGAACAACATTTACTGAAGTCATAACAACGTTGGTGTGTCTATGGAAAGATAGCCTGACAGAACCCAACCCCTCTTCAGGTTGGTTTTGAATTCAGTTTTTTTTTCTTCTTCTAGACTGGTTGCTACACAAGGCTATAGGACTCATCTGTCCCTGCTACTTACTCATAGCTGGGAGAAGAGATGGATTCATACCTTTCCCCAAAATATCAGCACAATTCCTCAATCTGAACTGCTATCCGTTACTCTACCATACCTCCAAAATGTATAGAAAGTGCTTTAATTGCTAGATCATCCACAGTAAGTTTACCTCTAGGTTCTGACATTTCAGTTTTCTTGGTAGATCTTCTATTATCACAATGTGGGAGATTTAATAACAAAAGTGATGAAACTAAATGAAATTGGCTCAACTATACACATATTAAAAAAAAATTAAATCTAAAAAGTTTAAAATGTCTGCATCCCCTCTCCTTTGTGCGTATGTGTTGTTACGTCAATGTAAACATCACTTTTGCCTGATAAAGTCCTAAAGAATGAAACTCATCAGATGAAAATTTTTTTTCCACTTTGTCATTATTTTCCTTATATTTATATATCATTTTCTCCCATAGTCAACCTGTGTAAATAGTTTACAGACTGAATTTGAGTTATTATAAAACAGGTGAAATTTTTAAATATATTTAGTGTGGAATGAGTTTCTGCTACTAAAATTACTGACAATAAAACAAGGAAATTCTTTGAGGATTTCATGAATAACTACTTACCTTCTTATCATGGGTGCCATCGAAATCATATTCACCATTCTCCATCGCATTGGCTACTTTGTTCATTGTGCCAACGACAGTACCAAATGACAATCTGAAAGAAAAATGGTTGCAAAGTTTTAGTGTCTGATATGAAAAGTTAATACACAAAATCTAATACAGCAATGCCTAGAGATATGAGTTTAATTCATTCTAAGACAGAGCTTGTAACTCAAAACACTCGTATCTCAGATCAATTTTCTCCATTGAAATTAATAGGAATATTTCTAATCTGTTTCAGGCCCTTAAAAATTCATTCTTATTTTCCTAAAACTCACTCCTATTTTTGTTATTTGTGGGTTTCCTACAAGCAAAAATGTACGAATAAACAAGAAATGTAGTTTACAATAATAAGAGAAAAAACACAAATTGTAAAAAAATAAACTGTATGTACTAAACCATGAAGTTCAAACGAGTCATAGTCCAACTGGCGGAGGAGAGGAAGGGAGGGACAACAACAGCTAGCCTAGCAATGGCTAGCTTAGTCTGCGATATCGAAGATTAACTTCACTTAATTTTAAAATTTTTTTTAATATTCACATTTTATCCATGACAGTAACTAATTTTTTTAATTTTAAAATTTTTTTACTTATTGTTAATGTAGAACACTCGTACTGTCTTGCCAAATCCATTACTTGTACATCTTCCGCATGGTCTTTTTTATAATTTCTTTCTTTAACTCAAGTGAAATCATGTTTCGGCTTTTCACCACTGCTCTTTATATTTACTTCCTTCAGACGCCAGGTGTAACTAAAGAAATTTTGTAAAATAATGGCAAAAAAGACAACATAACAGATATCCTTCCAGAGTGAGGTGGACATGTATAATGCAAGTGGAAATACTCACAGAGCTTGGTACTCGCTGTGCCAACTAACGAATGCTTAATTGAAATTCACTTATATCTCAAAATTCAGCTCATATCTAAAGACAGAAAATCAGCCAAACTCCAGCTCATATCTCAAAAAACTTGTATATCAGTACGCTCGTATCTCAAGGCATTACTGTATAATAAACATGTATTGTTAAAAGCTATAGACATTATTATATTTATAGATCTTTTTTTTTTCTATTGTATAAACATAGGGGTTGATATGCCATGAAACAAAAACAACCAACCATTCTTTTTAAATCTGGTTGCTCTATGTGGATAAATTGGACAAAGTTCCATGTTGTGTATTCCAAGCTTTCAACTCACATTGGCCATCATCATCAGGTGTGAGTGAGAAAAAAAAATGTCTTTTAAAAAGTAATGTGTAGTAATGTATAATTTATTAAAAAACAAAAAAAAAATACAATTTTCTTTTTTCATACACACACCTTCTAATTATGACTCATGTGAGTTAAAAAGTTGAACATGAATTTCGGCCAAGTTATTCACAAAAAACAACATTTGCAAAAGGAAAGAAAAAATAGTCACACCTCACAACACAACACTCACTAGTTCATAAAGTCACCAACTGTTTCTACCTACCCTGATGATGACTTCAGAAAGTTAAATACTTGGACTATCTTTTTTCTTAAATGAATTTTGGACAATTTCTGATGGAACTTCTGCCCTGCCTGAGAAGGATTATTCAGAATTTTGGAGAAGTCAATCATTAAAATTAGTCAACACAAAATGTCTGTTTTTTAATGATATTTGCCTAAAAGGATATTTATGCATTAGAAAAAAAGATCTATAAATATAATAGATACAAAATGCCTGTCCTTTTTAACAAGGTATTTTTAAAAGAATCTTTGCCTAAATATACTAAATACATCTTACTTATTATAAAACGCAGATTGGGTGTGTGTCTGTATGTTTGTATATTGGATCGGATTTCCTACATTTTTCAACTAATTTCAACAAAACTTCACAGGACTGCGTAAAATTACCTGGCGGTGGTTCTGACAGCACCAAAAATTGGAAAAACAATTGTTTTTGCACAAAATCAATTTGAAAACACGATTCTGTCACCAGAATGAAAGGGGGACAACTCATATCGAGTTATTACTTATTATAAAACCCAGGTTGTTTGTGTGTGTCTGTGTTTGTTTATATATGGGATCGGATTTCCTACATTTTTCAACCGATTTCAACAAAACTTCACTTTTTTTTTGGCAGGTAGTGTTTCTTATTGTCTTGCACACTTTTTTCTTTATTTTTACATTCAGAATGCTTTAAAAATTCCATTTACAAGACAATTGTTTATAATAAAATTCTATTCAATCAATAGACTCATAATGATTGAAAACAATGTTTTTGTTCGAGTTTGACTAATTCGTAAAAAAAAACAAAAAAAAAAAACTAATTAAGACATGCGTGTCCGTCAACCTTAAACAATAATCTTTGTCAATTTTATTTTTCAGTCTTTATGATGGTCAATACTTGATCTATCTCTTACTGTTACATCCCCGGGCAATGCCAGGCTCTATTGCTAGTGTTCTAATAATAGACAGTTTCTTTGTTTTTAAGTGGGGGAGAGCTTTAATATTAGATATAAATTACATACTAAGTAAACAAACTTCACCCTAGTCTATCTGAGAAAAAATAATTACATTATGGGTAAAGATTTTAACCACCACATCCAGCACTTTACACCACTTTCTATTTAAATCTAGAGTTTTATTTCTCATTCAATTTATACTGCTAGTCCTAGAAATTATTTTTTGTTTTTTTAACTTCATCACGGTACATTGTTAATAATTTTGAAATAGTATAAAAAAAAAAAAAAATTGTCTTAACCCATTCAGTACTAAAGGACATAAATTAATGTTTTCACTACTTTAACAATTAAGTGTCAAATAAAATTAACATTCCCTTTTGAAATGTGTGCCTTGACTTCATTTTTTCCTCTACACTACTGTGACTAATATCTAATTTTAGGTGATGCTGTTTAATTTTGGGGAGTCATTTTTCTATTCCTAGGCTCTATATATCAACAGAAAAATAAAAATTGATGAAAATGTTAATATTAAAAGATTTTAATAACAAAACTAGAATTTAATTTTTTTTTTTTAAATTCTAGGTTTGTTATTAAAATGGATAATTATGTGTAAGTATTATGTTCAGACCTTGTAAAATATGTGTGGGTCTTGTAGCTAAAGTTCAATTTATGTGATTAATATTCATCACTGAATGAAGTGCATTCAAAAAGGAAAGTGATTAAATTTAGAAAATAAATATTATGATGACAAAAAGCATTTTCACATGTCTATAGACTTATCAAAGAACATTTATATATACTACAGAGGTAATACTGTTATTAAGTGAAAACTATATTTACTGGTCAAAAATTGCAAAGCTTAATACATATCATTTTGCACCAAGGTTTTTAAAATAATTTTTTTGATGTACATAAAATATCATGTAATGTTCCCATTTTTTAAACTATGATTGACCATACACAACATTATCAGAAAATAAAAGCGATTACTATAGTAAACTTAAAATCAACATTCCTAAAATTAGATTATGGAGAATATTTTCCAACATTTCTAAGATTACTGAGTATTTAAAAATTATATAAAAAAGGAGCACATGTCATTTTATGTTTTAACAGATAAAGTTGCCGTAGAACAACAATCAATATATCAACACTCATCAATTATATGAAGCATGGTGACTGTCGATTAAAAACACAACTACAGTTTGTTTTAAAAATAAATTTCTGTGTTATTCTAAACTTAAAGTAAATAATATTTGTTTCAAATCTGATTAATTATACATTAAATCAGCTAATATTCCTCAAATAAAGTTTCAGAAAAGTACATTTTATTTTTGGAGGAAAGACGGCTATAAAAAAAAAATGATTCCAATCAATATAATTTGTCTGAAATACACCAGAGTATTTTGCTTACTGGAAATAGTAAACTTAATTCTTTAGCTTTTAATTAAAGTGAAAATGAAAGGTTTAAAAAAATAAAAATTCATTTTAAACAAATTAGTGGAGGTATTTAGTGTGTGTGTGCGCGTGCGCGTACATACACACAAGAAAAACTCCCTCAATTTGTGTCGCAAATGTGTACAATGGTAATTATAAAAAAAAATCAATTTTCAATTACTACGGTTTAACTGAAGAATGTTTTACTGCACTAATCGAGTATGCACCAATTGAAAATGCATTAATCGCGGGATTTGTGTGTGTATATATATATATATATATATATATATATTTTCAACTCTCATTGTATTCGATGTATGAGGGTCAAGCAGCTCAGTTCCTAGGAACCGACAGCCAGACACTAGCACGTGTGATTTGATTATAGTGGTGAAGGTTTTGAGCTGAACCATCCACACTTTTTGAAGGACCTAATACAGAGACCTGGTGTGCAACATGCCACAAGGTTCCCAAATGACCCTCCACAAGTTTTGAATTCAGAATTGTCCTTCTCCTAGACCAGTTGGCATCCAAGGCTATAGAACCCAGTCTGTCCTGCTATTTAGCCATAGCTGGATTGAGAAGAGGATTCATACCTTTCCCAAGATTGTAATGGATTCGACTGGAATTCAAACCTGACTGATTCCTCAATCCAAGCCACTATCCATTACTCCACCGGGCCTCCTCATTAATAATATATGGTTTATCAAAAATACTTTTACAAATTTTATGGCAGGTTCCTCACACCAAAACAAAGAAACAAAAGTTCATATTAACATATCTCCACAAATCCGTTTTTTGAGTTATTAAGTTTAGAGAAAGTTTACTGTAGATGGTGCTGTGTTGCCATGTAAATGAGGTTACATTTGTCATACATGTACATTTGTGGCTAGTCTGTCTTCAATGTTTAATGTCTATCGTAGTCAGTTAACTGAGATGTGTTCCATTTAACTATGGCAGGATATTTATATTGTGAGTAGGTAGATATGATTTTCACATACGCCCGCAGGAATGGTAATGGACATGAGGCTGCATGGCTGTATCAGATTGCATTTCCAAACTGAAGGCAGCCAAGTCATCCAAACTTTGCTGCTTATCATTTCATTGCTGAGACAGGATCTGTGGCACCACAAAATATGGATTGACAAAGATTGAGATCTGTTCGTATGCCTGACATCTCAGAGTACCACATAGAGAGTACTTCAAGAGCAGTTCCTGTATCTGTATCATTTGTAACATGTGCAAGGTCTTTCGCCCTCTGACCACTTCTCACATCAGATGGAGCAATTTTTAAAGAAAATGAAAAACTCATTTTGTTAGTAAGTGATGAAGCTCATTTCATTATTTCTTGTGGGGAAAACTCAAGGCACATGTGTATGAGCATAAGCCCTTTATATTGGATGATTTGAAGGAAATTATTCACGTGAAAGTCACCCAAATTGACAGAGCCATGCAGGAAAGTGTGGAAGCCAACTTCCAAGCCTTCAGAAATGAATCAATGAAAATGGACACCACATTGATATTTTCCACACTTGATTTTGTCAAATACTAATTCAACACATTGATCCGAATAAATTTTTTTGAAGCTAAAATTAATGATGTTGGGAATTTTTCAAAAACATCTGTCCTCTCTGTGTCACCCTGTGTGTGTGTGTGTGTGTGTGTGTCTGTGTAAATAAAATAAACAAAAAAAAAAAAACTAAATATACACAAAATGTGTGTGTGCATTTTATATATATATATATATATATATATATATATATATATATCTCAAGTTAAAGGGTTTGAAGACATGAGACTGAAACACCGTGATCAGCTTTGTCAAGCTCTGAAGCAGAGATGCCATCAAAATCCTGCTTTAACAAATTTCATCTGTCAGTGTGATTTTGTTGCCCACAGAAAGGCTGGGCTAGTATCACACTTAAGAAAACACAAATGAAATATGTCTTTCCCTTACCTGATTTTCTCCACAATAGCCCCTGCTAGCATGACTAAACATAAAACTAAAGCCGCCATTCAATGCTGACCCTCATTCATTGTTCACAATAGAAGAGTCCACCATATATATATATATATATATATATATATATATATATATATGCACGCAAAAACATGTATATCCAAGCACAAAACTATTTTATATATATATATATATATATATATATGTGTGTGTGTGTGTGTAAACACACAACTACAAAAGAATATTGGAGAAACAAGAGTAAAACTGATTCCATTCAGACCATGAATTTTTTCAACAAAGACAATTTAGCTCACCGTAGACACTCATATGGGCCACTGTCTTCTTTTCCATACACTTTGTCTGTTCCTTCATAAGCCAATTCTTCCATTTGTTTAGGCTTTACACCTTCATTATCTGGCCAGAAATAAAAGAAATAAATCAGGTAAATTCTTGAACAACATCAAAACAATTTAATTTAGGAACGTTTGCATAGAAATTTGAAATTAAAGCAATTACATTTACATTAGAAAAAATATTATTTAATTTCCTGAAATACGAATTACAATTTAAATTCTGAAAGGGTTTTTACCAGTTTTCTTTACAAAAATAATTTTATCAAAAAAAAAGTAAAATTTTAATTTACTGTGTCAAAAGCCAATTACTCTAATCTGTTTAAGATTTTACAAGAAATGAATTATTCGGGTATGACTCATCATTTAAACCCTTTTCTTGTACATCCGTCTACAATGGGGATACAATGATGAAACCTAATATCAACACATTCAAAAGACACATCAAGTCACAAATTCCATTCTTGTTTAGTGTTAAGACCAAGGCAAGAAATGATAAGATGGGCTTAATGCTTCTCTTCTCTCTACTACTATACACTAAATAGCACAGCAAACTGAGATTTCTAACTTTGGTTGGCTACCAGTCTAGGAGAAGGAAAACTCAGAATTCAAAACTCTAGAGAAAGCAACAGGAAACCACTCCACTATCCTCCCCCCCCCAAAAAAAAACAATCATGGCAATGCAGTTTACAGATATTAAAGAAAAGGAAGTTGTGGAGAGCCATGATTATATATAGTTATAATGGATATAGCATTTACAAGAAAAAAAGAAGTGTCGGATTTTCTTGGGGAGCCTATTAAACAATGAAATTCAAGTTTAACATGTAGATATTCATCCATACACACACTCAAATGGAATGTAGCACAAGATTAGGTTTAAAGTGAAATCCATGCATACATAAATTAGCGCCACATGATAACATGCAAACATATGATTAGTTTAGGAAGACAGAACTATTGAAATGCTAAAGAAATTGGAACATATATTTCTCTATATATAAAGGTAAAAGACAATAGGAAAAATATTATTAGCAGACACGTTGCGTCCATTGTGGATTTTTCAAGGCAAAAACGAAATGAATTTATTGAAAACAAAGTAACTATTAACAACAAACAAAATGTCCTTAGCAACTAAAAGAATTTAGAAAATGCTATTGTATTCCTATTATCAACTGAAAATTATGTCAAGTAATTTTGTTTGTTGTTAATAGTTACTTTGTTTTCAATAAATTCATTTTGTTTTTGCCTTGAAAAGTTCACATTGGACAAAATGCATTGGCTAATAATACAGTTTTCCTATTGTCGTTTACCTTTATACACATTCTTTTTCTAAAAGGTTAATGCTGAGAAATTTTTCATAATTCAATATATATATATATAAAGAACTGGGAAAAGCTAATTTAAGTGCAGTACTAGATTGGTAGCAAGGTTTCATCCTTTTACATTTGAAATGGTTAGATGTAACCATATTATTATTATTCAATTGAGCTAACTTAGACATTCATGAATCTATCATGCCATCTATCATGGTCCTGCATCAAGTTCATTAAGATGGCATTCTGTGTCATAACATAGTTGGTCAATGTAAGCGATTACTGGACAACCAACCCATCTTACACCAAGGTGAGGTCCCCAGAGTAATAGATCACAAGCAAGTTCTTTTGCTCACCAGCAATGTACTGCAAAGCATGTTTTGCATTCACATAAGATTGTGAAATATCAGGAATGAGTTAACAGAGCTGTGATTAATTTGATGTTGTTGCAAAGAGATGTTAAGTATAGCTCTAAGCATCCAAGTGTAGGTTCCATCAAGCTTAGACTCAAGGGTTTTAGTTAATGTCCAAGCAGTGGCACCATACATTAAAACCACCTCTACAGTGGCATGAAAGAATCTCTGTTTGAGGTTGTCTCCAAGAGCTCTCAGCATCCAAGTGTAGGTTCCATCAAGCTTAGACTCAAGGGTTTTAGTTAATGTCCAAGCAGTGGCACCATACATTAAAACCACCTCTACAGTGGCATGAAAGAATCTCTGTTTGAGGTTGTCTCCAAGAGCTCTCAGCATCCAAGTGTAGGTTCCATCAAGCTTAGACTCAAGGGTTTTAGTTAATGTCCAAGCATACATTAAAACCACCTCTACAGTTGTCTCCAATAGATGTTAAGTATAGCTCTCAGCATCCAAGTGTAGGTTAGACTCAAAGGTTTTAGTTAATGTCCAAGCAGTGGCACCATACATTAAAACCACCAATAGCACGAAAGGAGCTCCCCCTGAGGTTGCCTAATAGATCAGATTTCCAGATTGCATCCATTATATTCAAGGAGGCCCAGGCTTTAGCTATGCAAATTTTCACATCCTATTCTTTTTATTTTGCTTACTAGGTATGTAAAAATTTCATTTTTTTTTTTTTTTTGAGCTATGCTGGTTGAAGAATATGAATTCAGATTTAGAGGCATTGACAGAGTCCTGCATCATTTCTAAATGATGTAGAACTGTGACATTTTCTAAATGATGTAGAACTGTGACATTTTCTAAATGATGTAGAACTGTGACATTTTTTTATGGTGTCTGCAGTGATAGCTGGATCATCTACATAATCAATATTGATCAACTTTTTTTTTTGCAGGATATCAACTTGAGTCTTGGTGATAAAGTAAGTTTTATGCTAACAGTTTCTTCTCTCTCAATTCTCACTTCCCAGTCAACTTTGATCTTTAAAAATTAAAATGGAATGTTAATCGTTATCTTGTCTTCTTAATTATTGTTCTTTTATTGGTCTCTCTCCTTAATAATATTTTATTTTTCTCATATTTTCACACACAGTAACCTCTTGCATCTTAGTGACTTTATTACGTTGCTTGGGGGTGACATGATTTAAAAAAAAACATCCGTTGATTTGAATTAAAGCATATTTATATGGCAAGAAACGCTTTAAACAAATCTTGCTAAATTCAACCATTATAATTTGTGCATCTAAATCAAAATTATAAATAATCTATCCAAGGGCCACGTCTTTGTTTGAATAGTTTCAAACATCTTGGCCCTTTTCAAGAACCAAATGTTGTCAGTATAATAGACAAGATTTTTATGCTACCCGTGGAAAAAAAAAAAAAAAAAAGAAATTAATGATGTAGAAGGCTGAAGAACTGTCAACGAATGTGTGGCACAAAACTTGTTCAGACATTTCAAGGAAGGCGACACCAGACTTGAAGACAAATCAAGGTCAGGGAGACCTTTTGTTGTGGAATATCAGGCCTTGCTTGGAATGGTTGAACAGCCAAACACGAACACTTGTACATTATCAACAGAACTTGGGCCTTCACAAAACACCATCAACACAGCCTTGTGAACAGACGCTATCGAGAAGTTCCTCATGAACTGACCAATCAACACAACATATCAACATTTGCAAACGGCTGGCAAATTCACAAGATGCCCATTTTTGACATTGGATTGTAATCAGGGATGATAATCTATTTTCATAATTCTAATCTAATTCTGAGAAATCAGTGGTTTAATTCTAGCCAGGCTTCAAAACCTGTTATAAAACAAGGGCGGTTTGAACAGGTTGTGTGTTTGGTAGGGCTCTAAAGGGATGTTGCATTTTGAGTTTGTCCCAGATGGTCAATGCTGTGAACACTGACCTTTATGATTACAAGTGAATCTATGATACTTTGAAAGCATGCTGCCTGGCATTGGTCAATTGAAGACCAGCACTCCAAAAGCATGACACACTGTCAATGTAACGAAGCACAAATATGAGCGGGATGGAGGTGTTGCCTCAACCTGCCTACAGTCCAGACCTTGCACCATCAATTACAACCTTTTCCAAGCTATGTCTTATCTTCTGCATGGATGAGAGTTCAACAATATGGATGAGGTTGAAAACCAATAAAGAGTTTTTTGACTCTAAAACATCCAAATGGTATGAGCATGAAATTGACCTTCTGGCACAACAATCGCAACAGACAATAGAATATTATGGGAGATATTTTGATGAATAAATGCTTTTTGTATGTAATTTGTTTGAATTATTAATTAAAGCTTGAAATAAAAAAAATAAAAAAAACAACTTTTGACTCAACTTTGTATGTATGCGTTTGTTTGTTATTGTACTTAAAACGTTATTATGGTGGATACTCAGTATTTGAAATACACACTCCATTATTTAATAAATAAAAATAGGTCATCTATTTCAATTACATAATAGTTGTAATATACAAAGCTGAAAATGTGTCTGTCTGAAAAAATTAAAACTGAAAAATTAAATCTATAAAATGATTTTAAAGTTTTATATCTACCAGCTTATAAGTGTCTTATACCTTGTTTAACAGTGGTAACCATCTCAGCATTTAGATCACAGGCTGGGAGTAGAAGTAGGTAATTTAGAAAGGTAAGTAAGCAAAGCTGACATATTTACAAAAATATTTTTTTTAATTTTATCTACAATATTACAATATGTATATGCAATAATGTTGTAGTTTCACAGTGGAGGCTTGTATTTCACTAATTCGGTCCTAAAATAGGTTCGACGTACAAAACATTAGGAACTTGATATAACAGGTAATGATGCAGAGAAATCTAGTGGAGGTCGCTGATATTTTTAGTATCCGACTAACGGTCGTCCGACATCAACTGACTAACTCACTGAGCCACTTAGCGACTGCTACTACTCCTACTTATTATAGGTGGGAGAGTCTATTAACAATAGAATAGGTGTGTTCCACTATAACAAATAACTAAAAAAAAAAAAAAAATACCAAAATATTTAACATGTTACATTAATGATTTAAGTATTTTGGTAATCCTTGACTGCATTTGCAACATGTTATACAAATTGTTAAAACATTAAAATACAAGTCCTGCATAAATTTTTAGGTTTCTAAAATAAAAATAGTAATAATTAAAAAAAAAAAATCCAGTATTAACAATGGATTTCTACCTAAAACCAAAAATGGGACAATAGACAATGAGTAAAACATATTGAATGTTTTTGATCATGAAAATTTTACTAACACTATTTTATGACACACACAAATCTCTCAAACAAATGATTGCAGAGTGAAGAA